CTTGGTACTGCGTTGATCTTCCAAGTCTCTCATGTCCTCCAGGTTTGTGAGGCACGTGGTCGGTTTCCGTCGTGAGTGCCCAAAGCACCCTTGATCAAAGGATACCAAACCCATTCCTTGGTAGCGGAGCAGCTGCATTAACTCCGGCCATGCCCAAAAGCTTGGACTTTCTTCTTCGCGAGCTTGTGGAATATACGTCAACGGATCCTGTGGGCTCTCCAAGAGGAAAGCGGTTCTCACACGATGACGCTCGCGGCATTCTTCAGACCTTATGAACAGGCCAATTTGTTTCAGCAGCAGTGCTGCATCTGAATCAGCCAAGTTCTTCTCCCGGTCTGTCAATCCTGGTAGACCATACCGGTCATGGAAACGTCCACGCAATGGTCTCGGTCCCGGTTGTTTCTGCCTCAATCGGCTGACCGTCCGACAGGGAGGTCCCCCGATGATAGCAAGAAATTTTCCCAGGCTTGCAAGTTTCCAAAGGAAACTCCATGTTCCCGGATTGTGTATATCTTGATTTCGACCTTCATTGATATCCAAAGTGATGACTTCAATCCCATTGATGGGATTCTTTCGCCATTCCTTCGCCCTTTCTCCAGCAAAAAGGTGGACTATAACCCCTTTTGAGGTGAGCAGCCTCCTTCTTTTGTGCCGGTTCCATGGTAAATCATGGTTCATTTGCGGATCTTCTTCATCTTGACCCCGCATGTAATTCCAAATTCTGTCCGGTGTTTCCGGAAATCGTGATCCCCACCACTTCTTGGTCTTCTCCGTGGGCTCTTCCAAGGTGAGCCGATGGTTGGTCCTCTTTTCCATTTCCATGTGCTCAATCTCAGTGATCAGAGCCAGAGCGTGGTCCTGAACCACTGGACACCCAGACCTTAACCAACATTCTATGTTTCCCAGTCGTGGATGCTTCACAACACATCCTGCACGGGACCAAGTGATGGTGTATCCCAATTCCACCAAACCTCGAAGAGGTACAATTGGTTCCACCGGTCCCTCCGACAAGAGGGTTCCATTCACAGGATTTTGATAGAGCTGAGCAGCTCCATGTGCGAGTTCCACAGTGACCTGCACCGCGTTCTTGATCTCCTCGGTTGATCCCTGTCTCAAGGGGTGTGTCGCCCCACCATCCAATAAACCTGTTCCATCATCAAATTCAACTTCGAGATGATCCCCACCATGCCCCACCGATTTCAAGACCGGTCCATTGAGACCCTTCAAAAGGTTGGTCACTTCTCCCACAACCTTGTTGGCCTCCTCTGGTACAGGGGTTATAGTGACCGTGGACTCCTTCATCGGATTGATCTTCACGGCAGGTTCAGAATGTTCTTAGAATGTTCTTGAGCAGCACCTCCCTCTTTTCCAGGACCATTTTTCCTCTCTTGAGATCTTGAGCGGATTTTTGTGGTTTTGACCACCTTTGGTTCCTCGGATCCACCTTGTGGACCTCGTGACTCACTTCGTTTTCCCGCCGGACAATCACGTCGGGAGTGTCCCCTTCCAGAACAGTTGAAACATCGGCCATCTTTGGAGTCCAGGACAATGTGCGTGAATCGGCACCGGTCAGCATATTGGCATCCCTTATCTGTCAGCCAGTTGATACACGCAGTCTTGTGGACCACATTAGCCGCGTTAATCGGCAGCTCGGGCTTTTCTCCCCTCCTTCCGGTGGAAGAACCTGCTGCGTCTTCTGGTTTTCCCTTTGAAGCGCCCTTTGGTGGGTTTCCAGATGAATCCGGCCCACTCATTGACTTCACCCCTACCACATTATTGGGTTTAGCCGCTGGGCCCTGTGTTATGTTCCCCGGTTGACGGAGAGCCATTTCACCAGCTTCAGCTTGAAGAAGTTCAGAAAACGTTCTGATCTCTTGCATTCCCGGCCGGAGATCTATACCCAAATGCTGTCTCACCGAAGACAACCGGTATGCAGCCTGAGCTCCCCCCAACCTGGCTAGTGCATCACTCATTTTTGCGACCACTCCGGCCAAAACCAGAGGATCGGGTAAAACCAATTGAAGTTCTTCGGCACGAACCACCCATCTTCTCCACTTCCGGATGGAGTTGACCATCTCTGCAGCATTATTGGATGGACCCTTCCAGTCCACCAACATCTGTAGTAGAGAAGTTCTTTCCACTTGTCCCCCAGGTTGGAAGACGGTGTACAGCTTGAACATGACTTGACCCGCTGACATGTGTCTGTTCGCCACAAGGTCCTCGTAGATGTCCTTGGGGACGGCTTGAAGCAGCATACACACCACCCGTTTCTCTGTGCGAGGCCACCTACGGGCCATGTCAGGTATCACAGGCGCCATCCGGAGCCTCATGAGTGGATCCGCTTGCAACCAGTGGTGGTATGCTTGTTCAACAGCAGTCATCACTACTTCCCACCATTGCTCTGTGGTGTAGCTCACATCCCCAATCATCTGTTGGGCAACTGTCAGCCAGTCTCCAAAGTCCAAAGATGTTGCATTCCTGTCCAGCTTCGGCAATTCGACCGATCTTAGCGTTTCGCCTGGTACTTCTCCCCCTGCCTGAGGTCCTGCTTGGACTACAGCTTGTTGTTGTTGTGGCGGTGCAGCTTGTCCTGGATTTCCTTGGTGACCACCTGGGAGACCGGGATTTCCCTGATGACCACCTGGCGGACCAGGTGCTTGTCCGGGATTTCCATACTGCCCTGGCGGTGGACCCCTGGCCAACCATAACCACCCATAGGTCCGGTGTTTCCTCCCGGAAATGCAAAAACCCCTTGAGGTCGATGATCTTGTCCTGCAGGTGCTCCTCCAACATGGACTTGAGGATTATACCATTGATTAGGTTGGTCACCGATGAAAAAGTGTTTTGTGTTTTCCGTGGCTCCCATGCAAGGAACTCCCATCGGTGGTCTTGACGCCGCTCTCTGCGGCATACCTCCCGGTGGTATTCCAATTAGCCACCCTTGATTCATATACACATCCATCGGCCGAAAATCTTGTTCGACCTTGGGCGCAGGAGGAACATTCCACAACTGACCTCCCGCCTGCATTTGAAGATCTTGATCATGGTGATGTTGAACTCCTGGAACTGGTTGATCTTGCACATGTTGTACCTGGGGTGGAACACCTTGAGGTGGCCCCACAGGAAAAACCTGCTCGACATTCTTCAGCTCCGGCGAGGCGGTTTGATAAGACCCCCCACTTGACTGAGAGCCCTTGTGACCTCCTCCGGCTTCTCGGACCCGTTCCAGGGCACGTTTCTCTTCCCGCGTGGCTAACCAATTTTCTCGATCTTGTTGGATCTCGGTCTTGCTCCGTTGAAAGAATTCCATCATTTGCTGTTTCAACTCCTCATACTTTTCCTTCTCCCTCGCGTCCGCCTGATCAATCAGGTCTTGCGACACTATGGGATAAGTCAGCTCTTTCACTGGAGTTTGTGGACTGCTCATTAGAGCTTCCACTCGCTTGGCAGCACTCCATGGATTCGTTTCCTCTGCAGCCATGACCCCGGTTACAATCCCAGGATCCACAACCGCCGTTCCCCACTGAGGCACCATTCCCGTAGGTGGCACTCCAGCACACATGGATTGCTGGGACATCCCAGCTACTTGCGAACCCTGTGTTCCACCAGTTGCGGTATACACCACAGGTGCTCCCGCTGGCTGGTAGATCACAGGTGAGCCTGTTGGTGCCGCTGGCACCGATTGTTTGAAGCGTGCATCTTCAGGAGACTCAACAGGTGAACGTCCCGGTCGCTCCAAAAGAGCAACGGTTTCCACAACAGCAGCCGCACCTCCACTTACTTCAGTTGAGCTTTGGTGTTTTCCACCCTGTCCTTCTTCTCGATTACCCACAACAGGTGGTTCACGAAATCCCTCAGACATCCGGGCAACTACTGGTGTTTGTGTCATAGGCACTCCCGAAAGAGTTAGACTATTCACACCTGGGGTCAAACCAGACAACAGACCGCCACAACCATTTCCTCGTACCACTTCAAGTCCAGGAGGTTCTTCAGGTGGTAAGGACACTGGTCTTGCGACTTCTTCCGCAACAGCCGGATTCTGGGCGATTCGTTCGCCCGCTCCAGCCGGGACCGCCGCAACCTGCACTAGGGCTCCACTTCCCCCAGCACCGGTCAGTGCCATCACACTTTCTCCAACTTCCCCTTCCATCAGTGATCTTCGGGTTGAGTCTGATGATCTTGTCCCTGTTCTTTCCCCATGTGCTTGTCCAGGTGTGTCCATCTCCTCCAGAAGCCGATCCAGCATTTGGTCTGCCGTTTCCGCGCGTTCTTCTTTTCCATGTCCATGGGTCCCATGTTGTACTTCTTCAGCATGAGCAGCCGCTTGAACTTGGCGTTCTTGTCGACGACGCTGAGTGAAGTCGCTGCTCGACATTGCTTCAAGGCAGCGTTGGGGTTGGGCTCATAACCCACGGGTTTCAGACTATGACCGAGACCCTTCCCGGAGGTCCCCACCAAGAGGCAGATGCAAGTGCACCTTTTCACTCCAAGTTGGGCTCGGTAAATTGAGCCAGTCAGTTGATTGGCCCTTGAGCCAAATTGCAACAGTCGGAGGACGTCTCAACGACTGTGAAAACTTTAAAAAGACCTTAGTGGGGGTGCAGTGGTACTCTGTGCATGTTTCCCAAACCGCAGAAACAATCAGGTGACATATAGCCAGAAACAGGTGCATATTCCTATTTTCACTGCGACCCAGAAAATATGGATAGTAATTGAAGTTGTTCCTGCCGCCACACCATTTTTGCTGTCCATTCAAGCCATGAAGATGCTAGGGGCACAGATCAATTTGTCCAATAATCACTGCTATTTGACTAGGATTGACCGTCAACTGAACTTGCAAGAAAGTAAGAATGGTCTGTACCTCATCAGCATGTCAGAATTGTGCCTGCCTGTCAAGCCTCGTCACCAGCAGAGTTTCACAGCCGAAGCCGATCGAGCACCAAGCTTTTTTCCACCGCCAGGCCTGACTTTGCCATCCTGTGTTCACCATGCCAACACAGGGAGAAGCCATGCGCATGATCAAGAGCACGGCAGAGGCCATCATGGAGTCATTGCGCCTGTTGCTGGTGATACTGATGAGCCAGTTGGAGGTGAGAGCGCCGGACCAGGAGATTGCGACAGATCATGCCCAGGTGTTGTCGAACCTCATGAACGAGGTCCAGAGCCAGAAGGGGCGCATAGAGCAACTGTCAAAGATGCTGCAGGGCAAAACTTTGTCAGGTTCACCAAGAAAAGTCAAGAGCGCTGGATCAGGCAGAAATTTCGAGATTGGCGACCAATCGGACGCTTCATGGGATCTGGAGGAGCTGGAGATGGGAAGTCTGGGCCCAATGCCCACCACCAACATGAATGTGAACCTGCACCAGTCGACGGCACACCGCCAGAAGATGCCCAAGCAGTCCACAGTTGTCCAGAGCTCTCCACAAAGAACCACTGCAGCAGCGACAGGGGCGAACGATGTGCCCGAGAGCCAGATAGCCCTCACGGCACAGGCATTGGAGTCATGGGGCAACAAAAGAGTCTCGCGGGGCAAGACCCACAATGGGTCCCGCTTCTCAGAAGTGTACGAGCAGCACCCAAACTACGTGGCCTGGATTTCGGCAAGATCCGCAACGGCCAACGTCGCCATGCAGGACTTCATCATGTATGCCCAAGCTCGAGAAGGCCTGGAACATCGAGCACTGAGAGCCAGCGCGTGAATGCGGCACCCAAGGAGCCGACCTATGATGATCTACTGATTGAAAATGAAGATGAAATGAAGTGGCGCATGAACTGCATTCACCATATGCCAAGACGCACCCGTAGGATAGACTTGCTAGAGGTGTACACCGAACCAAATAGTAAGTTAGTTGATGAAGTCAGGAAACAAGGGGGTCAAGCTGTCAGATTCACAAGGGATGATGGGGATTTATCCACTCATGCCGGGCAAGTAGCTTTGTTGAGAAAGATATTTCTTCTGAATCCCAAGCATATATGGCTCGCTCCAGAGTGCCGTCCGTGGGGTCCATGGAGCAGATTCAATCAGATGCGCGGAATCACAGCCTTCAACCGAGTGCAAGAGGACCGCAGTCAAGCACAAACTCACCTGCGCTTATGTGACCTGATTTTTAAGATTCAGATTTCCAAGGGAGACCACTGTCATGTTGAAAATCCAGGTCCCTCCAGCATTTGGCATCAGAAGGAATTCGAAAGAATATGCCGTTGCACAAAGCCAGCATTTTTCGATCAGTGTGCGTTCCAGCTGAAACATCCGGAGACTGGGGAGCTCATGAAAAAAGAACACTCGCGTACAGACTTCTTCAGGAAAAGTTTGGAAAGCACTGGACAGCCGATTTTGCAATAGGAATCACGAGCATGCCCAGATAGCCGGATCGTGTCATTTCAGGGGTCAGCGCATCCCCCTGTCTCAATTTGCCTCGTTTTATCCCACGGCACTTGCCAAGAGCATAGCCAAAGCCGTAATGAGCCCGATCACTTGATTTGCCGTCTGCCGCATTCGTTCATGATGGGTTTCCAGCAGTTGAAGTTGAGGAACCACCCAAAAAGAAAAGCCGGTTTCAGGTCCCAAGAGGTTTGAAACGCGAACATCAAGAAGAAGAACCACCTAGACTAGGAGATGACACCTGGAATGAAATCATGAACAGCCTGCGCCAGAGCCTGCCCAAGTCAGGCGTGAAACAATGGGATGGCCCGCACCAAGAGCTCATCAAGAAAATCCAAAGCTTGTGTCCCGAGCACCAAATCCAAGGAGTCATGGCATGTAAGGGGAGAGAAAAATTTATGACTCACCCGGATAATTTGTCCCATAGAAGAACCATAGTGACTAGCCGGGGTAAACATGAAGTTCATGACTTAGGTTGGGAAGACCTCCGAGAAATGCCCAAGAACCAGTGCAATCGGAAAGCATTCCCATCTCATGTCATGGTTTGCGTGTTCGGTCGACCGATCGAAGTTGGAGCCAGTAATTCAGAGCCTGCAAGGTCTGCACAAGAACCTCCTCGAGAAGCGGAGGACACAATTGATGTTCCAATGGGCCAGCAGGATTCCATGGAAAAGCCGTGTGACAACGTAGATGTCCCAGCCAGCACATGGACATCCGCAGCAGCAACCATCTCCGGACCAAAATTCCTTGCTTTAGAACCGACCAAGCAAAGGGTTATCCAGAAGTTACATAATAACTTAAGCCATCCAACTGCAGAAAGACTGGCCAAGCACTTGGCAGAGCAAGGAGCTTCAACTGAGATGATTGATGCAGCCAAAGAATATCTTTGTGCCTCATGCGCCGAACGCAGACCACCGTCGCTGAATCCACCAGGTGTCCTGAAAGAAGCACGTGACTTTAACCAGCGAATTTCTTTGGACGGTTTCGAGTGGAAAGGTCAGACTGGTTTTCAAGGTTATGTTATACACATTATCGATGAAGCCACTCAGTTTCACCTAGGACACCGATCATGCCGCGACACTGCAAGCACATGGAAAGTCTTTTCCGAAAGCTGGCAAGCATGGGCCGGAACGCCACAGGAAATCATGATGGACTGTGGAGGAGAATTGGTTTCTGATGAAATGAAAAACCTTTTGCAACAAGAAGGAATCAAGCCAATCTTAACAGCCGGACCGTGGCAAAGAGGTAGGGTAGAACGTCATGGGGGGGTCGTCAAAGAAATGCTGTCCCGTATTGACAATAGTAGCCCTATCAAAAATGATCGAGAGTTCGACCAAGCACTGTCCCAAAGCTTCCGAGCCAAGAATGCCATGTCGTGTATCAATGGATACAGCCCCGAACAAGCTGTTTTGGGACGCGCCACAAAGTTGCCAGCCTCGATTTTAGGTGACCAAGATGACACAGCCCATCTACAAGCCACGGGCGACAGCCCAGAAGCTGACCGTTTCCGAGCAGCTTTGGAACTCCGAACGTTAGCCAGAAAAGCCTTTGTTGAAAGTGACAATTCCCAAGCCATCAGAAGAGCCCTTCTGAAGCAATCTAGAGGAGTTCCAATAGAATGGCAATGCGGCCAGCCATGCATGTTTTGGGATCGTCGCAAGTCACCAAATATGTTGGAGAAGGGTAAATGGTGTGGTCCTGCACAAGTTGTTCTCACAGAATCCAAGACCATTGTTTGGGTGACACACATGAACCGTTTGCTCAGATGTGCACGTGACAACCTCCGACCAGTCAGTTTGAGAGAGCTTCAGCACCATCCAACTTTCAGCCAACAAGTCGAGCTCGCGCGTATCCAACACATGTCAAGCCAATTGCAGGCACGACTCCATGATCGAAGTGGCATGTTCCAGTTCTCAGACATGGGTGAAGACCCCATTGTAGATCCCGAAGAAATCAGCCGTAGAGAACACACAGCCTTACAACCCGAAGAAGAACCAACCCGAAGAGCTTCCAATATAGAAGTCCCTGAAATGTCATTGGAAACTCCAGTTGAAACACCAATACCCAATGACAATTTTGAAAGCGACCATGCCGGATCTTCATATGAACCTTCACTTGCACCTTCAAACCCAGCGGAAGGGGGAGAAAACATGGGAGAAAACTCACATGTATCATTTGGGGAAGCATCCTCTGTAGGGGAGAGCCAGGGGGAAAGTAGTGTAGCTCATCATGTAGCCACTATCGATAACGTAGTCCACGATGCCTGCATAGTGGAATCTGTTCCTGATGGCCCTGTCTTACAAGGTGACGAAGATACACTTTGGACAGATGCGATTGACCAATCGCTGGACCATTGCAGTTTTGAATTCGAGATGCCCTGGCAGCTGATGGAAAGAGTATCACATCAGCCCAAAATCCACGCCGTGCTTTTGACAACTGCGGCCAAAAAGTCCCGAGCCGAAGTGAGGTATTCCACGCTTAGCTCCGAAGAGAAGCAACTCTTCGACCGAGCTAAGGACAAAGAGCTCCGTTGCTGGCTTGAAACAAGCACCGTGAAAAGGATCCTGAGGAATCGCATTCACCCGGACAGAATCATGACCTCGAGGTGGATCCTCACATATAAGCCAGACCCAACTTCACCAAGGGGGCATAAACACAAAGCTCGCCTTGTTGTTAGGGGTTATCAAGATCCGGAAATTGATCAAGTAAACACCGACAGTCCAACACTTGGAAGAGATGCCCGACAACTCCTTTTTCAAACAGTGTGTTCCTCAGGTTGGGATATCCAAAGCTTTGACATCACGACTGCATTCCTCAGGGGAAGAGCTGATGGTAGAGAACTAGCCATGGAACCAGTAAGTGAGTTACGGGACCTCCTGAAAATGGGCAAAGATGAAGTATGTTTGTTGGAAGGAAATGCGTACGGAAGGGTTGATGCACCACTCCTCTTCTATCGTGAACTTCGCAAGCAGCTGGAAAGTTTAGGCTTTAGTGCACATCCTTTGGATGGATGCCTCTTCATGTTGCGAGACCCTCAGAATCCACAGAAATTGAATGGGATCCTTGGCACTCATGTCGATGATGGTATTGGGGGAGGAAACGAAGTATTTGAAAAGGCACTGGCCAAACTCCACAAAATCTTGCCCTTTGGACAAAGAGAATACCGAAAGTTCAAGTTCACCGGATTGGACATCGAACAATTGCCAGACAACTCCATTCGAATTAGCCAAGGGGAATATATCAATAAGATAGACCCCATAAACATAGCTAAGAATAGGAGAGTCCAAAAGGATGACAACGCCACTGACAAGAAGTTCAGGACTTGCGTGCCCTGTGCGGCAGCCTCCAGTACGCTGCTGTGCACAGCCGTCCGGATCTGGCAGCAAAGGTGTCGTTTTTACAGAAAAGCATCCCTCAGGCCAAAGTTCAGCATCTTTTAGATGGTAACAAAGTACTGTTGGAAGCGAAAGAGACGGCACCAACTGCTATCCAGATACGTCCGCTGTCTCTAGAAGATACAACCTTTGCAAGTTTTGGTGACGCCAGTTTTGCATCCGCTTCTCAGCTCCGAGCGCAACAGGGGTTATTTATAGTTGCATGCAGTAAAGCACTGAGTGAAAACAAAACGTCGGACATCAGTCCTGTTGCATGGAACTCCAAGCAAATTGGCCGGGTAGTCAGGTCAACGCTGAGCGCTGAGGCGTATGCAATGAGTTCATCCCTGGATAAGCTGACATGGATCCGATGTATGTGGGCCTTCATCCACAATCCAAGCTTTAAATGGCAGTACCCAGAAAAGTCTCTACAAGACGAACCAAAAGCACTGTTGATCACCGACTGCAAGTCCCTTTTTGATTTAGTATCCAAGTTGGCAACTCCTAACTGCCAAGAATGGAGAACAACCAAACAACAGTCAGATGGTCATACACAATGCCGATGGATTTCGACAGCCATCATGTTGGCAGACTGCCTTACGAAGCCGATGGATGCCAGCTTTTTACGAACTGTTTTGCATTTGGGTCGTTTTCGTATTTTCGATGAAGATCAGACACTCAAAAACAATACACATAAGAAGATGGCATCAAGATGGATGACCAAGCAAGATGAAGGCACATCCAAAAAAGAAAAGACACCAGTGTGAAAAGCCAGTATATGCCTTGGATGTGCCTTGCAGGTGTACCAACATGGAGACCTCGCCGCTCGACCGGGCCAATGGCTCAAGTTCCGCAAGGTGTGGAAAACAAGCGGCGCGGACGCCGCACAAATCCGAGAAGTGTAACGTTGGACGTTCATCCATAGGCACAGGGTGCCGGCTGA